CTGCAAGACAGAGAGGTGGGAGCAGAGAACACAATCATCTTCAAATTCAGCAACAGACAAGAAGACAGACGTCCTCTGCACTCAACCTACAGCTGCTCACATCAGCGCAGTTTAATGTGTGTTAAACTAAAGTAATAACCTACATTCATTTCACACAAATAGGCAGTAATGTGATGTGTACTCAGCTGTTGAAAGCTTTTTACATTTGCTCTTACGCTCATAATGTCTGGTGGCGGCTCTTTTGGCTCGCGGGAAGTTGTGCATTTTAAATTTCAGGTTGTTCAGTTGAGCATTGTAATTAGCAGGAGAAGAACTGGGATGAGAGCATGAGCAGCAATGACCATGAAAAGAGCAAAAACAGACAGAAACTCCAACTTCATCTGTAGAAAAACGCTGGGGAAAAAAAAAAAAAAAAGACATCTAAGTACCACCCACACTGTTTGACTGAGAGATGATCTCTGGGAAGGCGCAGCGCAGAGACACCACAGTAATGAGCACCAGTGTCACCAAAACAAACCTCACACAACTTTATCATTGAGCGATTACTGTAAAGCAGTAATCTTTTTCTGAGGAACTCTCTACACTACAACAAATATGGAAATGTTTACATGTCAATCATGGAGTGATTTGGTACGACTTTCTGCTGGTCTGCTGTGCACAAAGAACTTCACACAGGCTCCAATAAAAACAATAACAAGTTTTTAGTGATTGCGATTTCAGGTTTGAACGTGTCCCTCCGATCCAGTCTTCTTTTTTTTCCTTTTTTTTTTTTTTGTAGCTACACCTCCACAGACAAACACACGTAAACCTTTTGACGTTTCCCGTGACAATAATACACATCCACTTTACAGCAGAGTAGGCTACAGCCAGCTCCTTTATTGCTGTTACCACCACAATTACTACTGGTCATTATGTTGTATTCGGAGCTGTAGGAGGCTTCAGGACAGGAATCTGTATCTGAACCCACACACACACACACACACACACACACACACACACACACACACACACACACACACACACACACACACACACACACACACATATGGAAGGATGAAGCTTTTTGTGCTCCTATCTACTGCTCATTAGAGAGAAATATTTCATTTTCAAGTAGCTCTCACTTCGGCTACACGATCATCATTCCTGATGTATAGCGTCACGTCTCTGGCCTTGTGAGTTTGTGGTTGACTTCTTGTACCACAGGTCATCTCCGTGTATAAAAACACAGTAAGTAGCACAAAAAACACGAAAGCCAGTTGATTCCCATGTTAAGGTTTTCAAAGTCAAGAGTTCATTTTCATCTGACTGTCTCTTCAGACAAGTTTGAACATTTTTCTACTTCAGTCTTTTTTTGTCTCGTAAAAAGCAAGCAAAAGTAAAAAGAAAAAAAAAAAGAGACATCAAGACTCAGTCACTCAGTGACTCACTTTTTCTGTCAAGATGCCAAAGACTCACTGTGCACCCTTCTGTCCAAACCATTCATAGCGGACTAACGGAATAAAAATAATTGTGTCTGTCCAACAAAAGAGAAGCAGAGAACAAAGGGACTTTTTTTAAGTAGACAGTCCATAGTGAATAGCTACCAGCAATTCAGCGTAAACAAACTGTGATATTAAAAGAGTTCTCCACTGATGTAGCATTTCACGCTTGCCAGAGAACCTGAGATATCATCTTTTTTTATTCCACGTATTCGTCTTCCTTATCAAACTGGTGCATAAATTACCCACAATGCAATTGACTGTTAGGTGTGTTATACTAGGGGCAGCTAATGTAGCCACGAGTGACGGGCCTCAAACAGAGATGAGGGGCCACTGAGATATTAGCTGATATCATCTAACTGCAGATATGTAGTTATCGTTAAGTAATTCCATCAGAGAGATCTGTAAAATGTCACGTTCAGCATCTTTGTCATAATTCTTACAAGTCAAGTCAGTCATGTGCCTCCGCACCATCCAGCTAATGTCGGTCCTCGTTCACTGAAAGCTAAGCTGAAAACGCCACCTGACACGTTTTAGTTTGAAAGCTGCGGGGTTGTGTTGCAGCCTGGACGGGTAGAAACGGAGAGGCAGACACCTGTCTTGCCTCCTGATTGGGTATTATCAGTCACAACAACCACACAGTGAATGAAACATGGATAGCAACCAAAGGTTAATACCTCCAGTTTGTTTAATCCCTCAGAACACAATCACATTGCTGAATATGAAGAGTGCATGGCTCAAAAAAAGAGACCGATAATTGCAATAAGTTTGAAATAATCGTGATTTAAAGTCATATCGGCCAGATCCACGATGCACTGTAATTGGATTTTTTAATCCCTGACATAATGAAATCACGATCAGCCTCAAAAATCCACTAACAACCAGGCTACATCACTTATCCTTCAGTATCTCTGGAAGGTTATTCCTCCACTGCGTTCCCTGAACATCAATCAGCATCAGTCTAACGGATGATTTGTGAATATAAATCCAGGATTTGGCCCACTTGAGAATTTGGAGGAGCACAGGCAGAGTCCACTTGAGCAGATCACTGAAGGAAAACATAGGAGACACGTGTGAGATTTTTGTCGACTTAATCAGCTAAATGAAGAGCCCGGTGAAACAAAGAAAACACAATCATGAGAACTGAGATAATTCCTCCAAGTCCACTGACACAAACGCAGAGGAAGCTACATCTCTCACCTTGTCAGGCACTTGTTTCATTTATCCTTGACAGAGGTGAACTTTGCTCTGGTATCAGTGGTAACAGAAGGCCCCAGAGGCCATGAGAGCAAACCCGCTGATATAAACCCTTCAGACACAAGCACAAGCCACACTGCGGCAGGATGGTACACACATAAACACAACCGTGCACACACAGAGACGAGCAGATACACACCTCCACAGCCTTCTCTGTATTCAGCAGATGTTTTTACTGAACCCAGGGGTTGGCTTTTAAAGATTATACAGCACTCTCTCTCTCTCTCTCTCTCTCTCTCCCCACATCAGGTAGGATTTTTTTTTTTTTTTTTTAACAGGAAATTGCCTGATCCGCCGTCCCAAAGGGAGTGCTAGTAGTGCAACTCAAATCCAAACACAAACACAGACAGAAGACACAGACTCACAAAGAAACACTTACGGGCACACAGGGATGAACATCACCTTCTTTATTTGTACGACTAAATGCATAACACTACACAATATAGAGTCTTTTCATTTGTGATTGAGTGTGACAAACGTTATTGTATCAATACCTGCAGCATATGAAATCTATGGGGAAACTACTGCTACTAGTAATCTGTCTGAGATTTTCTTATCGTGTTGTTGTGACACACTCTTGATATTCTGCGTTTTGGCTGAATGACAAAAGGATTTGTGTGGAGGCTTTTAAAGTCTAGTACATCTTGTTAATGAAACAACATTTATGAGTGAATTTGTTCACCAGTTTACTTAAGTTCAAATTCAAACTTATCTAGTCGACCTCAATCCAATTAAGGACAGATTCAAAGGTGAAGGTGAGCTGAAATTTAATCCATGGTGTTTCGTCATCAAGAGTCATTTCATTTCTTTGTGATTCAAACTTCAGTAGTGAGAGCAGCTATTTTATGCTTCATCATTTTGGTTGAAAAGAAGGTATTCTTGCAACATAAAATAAAGCCTGAGCTTCACTTTGTAGCATTTGGGCTCAGTGATAAAGTGGATGCAAATTGAAGATCAACCAACTCACAGCATTGGTGAGGATACACTGGAGTGGGGCTGCAACTAACGATTTATTGTTTGGTCTCAGAAAACACTACAAAAACATATCACAGGTTCTCACAGTTACAAATGATCCTATCCTAAATCCCAAAGTGACGTTTATTTTTTTTTTTTAAATACCTTGGTTTTTTCCAACGAACAGTATAAATCCCACATCCTGTCACTGTCACATAGCACAAAGAAAAGAAGCACATCTAAGGCTACGTCCAAACTAATACATTTTCATTTAAAAACTGTGTTTTAAAACGAAAACCATCTCCGTCCAGACGACTGTTGATACAGCTCTGTATCATAAATGATCTAGAAAAGGGAGTCATGTTTTCCAAAAACGCGCTCAGCCTGACAATTAAACAGACGGAAAGCCAAACGAAAGGGCAGAAGTCTCATTCACTCTTCAAACATTTTCAAAAGTTTCCACTGATTCATTCGTTGTTCACGCTGGATTTTTCAAACTGCGATACTATGTCAGAAAATACCCCTAAAACAAATATCTTGGACATCCATCTTTCTGATGATGTGTCCCCTTCTTGAATAGTTATAGGAGTTGTGCTGAGCTTTCAAAACAAGTCAAAACGACTCCAGAGGGAAAGTCATGGAGCCATTTAGAGTCAGGCAGATGGGGAACTCGAGGGAGGGCTGCAGTTCAGCTTACCTGTGATTAACTCAGAGCTGCAGCTGCACACACAACCTAAAACACTGACATTTTCATTTTATATTTAACGTTTATCCATGGAAGACTTGCTGTGCACACATGCCCTTTTTCAGCTTGGTTCTGCCTCACATTCGTGCACACCGGGGAGCTGCCCGGTACATATTAGCCTCTGAGAAACTCCACTGAAGCAGTTGGTTGGGATTTAAGTGCCTTGCTCAACGGCACCTTAGTGTTATAGGTGTGGATCGGAAAGGGGGCCATGTTCAGCATCTTACAGCCGTGGAATCAGTTGGCGATCCTCCATGAGGTGAACACCAACCCTCGAGAAGTGAATGAGTGAGTTTGCTCTGTTCTGGCATAACTGGTCAACTGGTCAACTGACTCCACTCACCTTAACAAAGCTCTGATCTTTCCCTAAACCAAACCAAACTTTAATCGCAGCGTTGTTGTATCATTTTTTGGTTTAATTAGGAGGGCTTGTTGGTAAAAAAAAAGTGCCTCTTACCGTGCCACAAATACTAGTCCTTTTGCAAGTTTGAACTCCACAACTATGATTATTGATTTTGAAGTATTTTGGGGACATTTTACGCCTCTAGTAAAGAGAAGAAAGTAGA